CGATCATCGATGTTGAGCTATCGATGTCATCATCGATGTTTCTACAACATCGATTATTCCTAATGGAATTTTTTTCAATAACTGGCTTTACAGCTCTGGATTCTAGCCCTTCTGATCCCGAAGTTACAATGTGTAATTATCCTTCATTTCAGTAGACTCACTTCTTTAGAGCTTATTGGGATTTTGAATACTTTGAATTAAAATCCAACAAAACGCAGGTAGGTGCTAATTATTCTATGGAACAATTTATATGAATATCTTTTAATTTGTTTAGAATATCATTTTTGATGTTATTCAGTTTCGTGCACTAAAGCATTTTTTAATCTTTTTACCGCCTTCTTAATAATAATTTTTTGATAGTCCTTTTAAGTACATCACTAGCTAACGCACACAATGACAAATCAAAATTTGTCACGCGTTTTTGAGTTTTCAGGACGTCTATACGCCAGTATATTCTAATTCTATCGTAATATAAGTCTCCTATCTCCCTATTACAAACATATAAGAAATGCTAGCGCACTCCATATCAAGTGTCTCTCCGTGTCAAGTTCCCGATTTTTCGGGAGATCTGACTTTGACTAGTAGATAGAGGATTGACTAGATAAAGCATTCGCGTATGCTTTTGAGATAGAAATAGGCGGGAGGTACTTTCACTGGGTTACCAGATATTGTTCCATTTCCCCCGTTATGGGTTTATTTATATTCACAGCACTTACATTCATACAAAAAACTTAATTGTTACCTTAAAAAATGTTCTTTTATAATTCAGATGATTAATTAATTTCTTTTGAAAATTGTCTGTACACTTACCCTGCGTCGTAAGCAATAATACAAGATGGGGATGGGGCAGCAGCACTTTCCCGATGAAAACTTAAAATAATAAAAAACTGCGGTGGCCTACCAACATAATGCATATTTTCACGCAGGCGTGGCAACTATGGCAAGTCATCCTATGAGGATTCTATGGAAGGCCTTTTTAGGTGACTTACTTATGGTTAGGTGGCTTAATCATGTTACCTAATGGTTAAGGTGGTAAATATACGTCAAAAAGTATCAACAAAGGGTTTATTTTTGTAATATGTTGGTATATAAAATAAAAACGAATGTTTATAATATTCTATTTTAATTTACCATGCAGTGAAAGATTATCTGCTGCCTTATATCATTCCATGGGTGGTGTATGAGGCGACATAGGGAAACATCAAAGAAGATAAACAGCAGCATTGTCCTGATAACAGCTAAATAATAGTTGACTACCCGCTTTCCAAGCGTTGAAACTATGCCAAATAACTATAATCATGTTTATGTTCAACAGTGGACTTTTGATAGACTGTAAAGATATATATTCTATTTAAATGAAAAAGAACTAAATTTTGCGTACTTACGCAACTTTTAGAAATATTAACAATGTTACATTAAGTAAAACAAATGAAAACACAATTATATATTAAATACAATTCAATAAAATTAAAATAAACAAACGATTATTATTAAGTTTTCATCACATTAATAAACAACAAAATTTTTGTCTTCTTTCTAGAGCATTCGTTGTAATTCTTGGTTTGAGTAGCCTTAGAATTTCTCAAAAATATGCATTTGTAAACTTGATTTATACTTTTGCATGGCAGGAATTCTTGAGTGCTGGTCGTTAGAATCATATTAGAAGGGAGTGTATATATATATATTTGCCTTGTATATAATATATTTTAATGGTATAAATAATAAGGTACAACTCCTAAACTATACTTAGATAGGTAATACTTATCTCTTATTTCTTAATTAATATTATAAATTATTATTTCTTAATTTATTTACACATTAATGTTTATAACACCTTTATAAAAGGGATTAAGGGTGGACTAAATGTCCCATTGGTAGGCATTTCCAGTCAGTTTTACAATTATTATTGCATAATAAATTATTCATTTGTATATTTAGGTCAGGGTTTTAAATTACTTATTTATTTATTTTATTTAAATCTTTATTTGCATAAAACATGGTAGTACAGATAAAGTTCCAATATTTGTAAATGAGGATTCATGTTTAATCAATACATCTATAAGCAAATATTTTGTCATTGTCATGCCACCCAATTATTACAAGTAATAATAATACAGAATGTCAGCATTTGAAAATAAAATAAGCAATGCTAGTCAATTTTTAATACATACAGAACAATGTCAAAAATCATAACTACCAACAAGATTAAACTTATATCACTTATGGAAAAACAACAAGAAATTATAACATTTAAAAAAATTATCTTAATTATATTATAAATTACATATGTTAAGCATATTTAGTCCACCTAAAACAATGAGGTTTAAAATGTTTTGAGCATACACTGCTAAGTTTTGTTGATTACCTATAAGCACTACCAGTAGCGATTATCCAACTGTTACGGATATCTGATTCCTTAGGAAAGCTGTGAAATAATATATTTAAAAGAAATTAATATATTAAATATATAGTACACTTTTATATCAAGGTATTTAAGATAAAAGAAAATCAAGTATGTGTATCTGTGCATAAACACAATACCTATAACAATTAAAACAATATCAATTGATTTATTTAAATAACAAGTATATGTAAATGTAATGATAATATTATTCATACCAAACATTTAAAAAAATTATGTACATATTAAGCCTAACAAATGCCTTCCACCGCTTAACATAAACCTCCCACACAGTTTGTCTCCAAATTACTGCAGTTGCCAATTATCCTGCCAAGCTAGGCAACTATCACAAAACCCATAACTTTTGATACTGACTTATGGTAACGGTAAGTGTATTATCATCAAATTTTTTCTACATCATTAATTGAGAATATTATCTTATGTTGTTGTGTTATTGTGTACCTTAAGATTAAGACTTATTTATTTATTTATTACTTTATCTATATTTATATTTATTTTTATATTAGCATGACATTTTTTTTTAATAAATATTGTAATGTAATTGTTGCTAATGTATAATAGAATTAATGGATTGCAATAAAGTTATGTGCATATGATTTCAGGCAATACATATTTTGTGAAATTAAATATACTTTGCCCAATATTTATGTACTTGAATCCAAACATGTTTTCAGGTTGATACTTACATATTATTTGTGAAGTCTATGTAATATGGAAAATGATTGAAGAGTTGTAGGGCAATAAGGAGTTTCCTTTAAAGCTGAACATAAAAGTGTATGTATATGTATAACATTATGTGATTCATATTTATGGACATAACTACTAATCACAATAACAATTATTATTGAACAATGCAAAAACATTATTGTACTCGCTGATATCCCTAAAGCTTCTATAATCCTACCAAATCAAAAAGTACACGTTTATTATGACTTTAAGCTTTCGAATGACCGTTCAAATTAAGGAGCATTATCATGAAGAATTTACAATTTGGGAGTCCAAATATTTGACAAAATACATCACAAACTTCATTAAAAACATGAAATGTTATACTTTATATTCAAAACAATAGATATTAATCAGTACAAGTAGCAAATGTAAGCACAAAACAAACTTACCGATGAAAGGTAATATTATCAATTTTTCGTTGACTGATGCTGTTGCATCCTAAAATGCTACAACTTACCATCTTTTTCACCTTACCTAATAACTAAGATCCACAAAAAACACTAAATTCAATTACCTGTTTGCTTATAATATCAATATTATTCAAAAGAGCTTGACATCGTTAATGTCAAATAAAGGAGGGAAAACAATCAAAAACGCATACCTAGAAAAAGACAAGAAATATAGATTTGCTTCTCCCTTACTCTTATGTCTAACTATATACGTGCATTCCTTTCACACTCTGATGACGTCACTGAATGCTTAGTCTATAAGATACTATGTCTATGCTTTGACTATTGTTTAATCTTAACCATATGGCAACATGGGCCACCGTCGGCGGACCGGTAGGGGGGAACCGTAGTGTTTTTCCCCGATATAAAACTCTCAGTCATTTTTAATGGAGAGAAACCTGCGCACATAAAGCAATCAACAATTTTTCACTTACCTCACAAAGGTTAATGTAAAATAGATTTTTTGTAGACATTTTAAGGTTGGTAACATTTTCTTTTAATTGTCTCTCACTGCGAAAACCACACATAATAATTAAAACAATTATACTTACAACTTCACAAATGCATGGATACATTTATGTAAATTTGACATAGCAATACTCTTTTTCAAAAAAAAAAATAGACCATTTCGGCATTTTTGTAGGACGTTGATTAAGCAGCTGTCATCGAGCATTTAACCTGAATAGAGCGGTATTGTTATTTGTTTTGTAAGAAAACAAATTCCGCCAAAACGCTGCGCCGGTCGCTGCGCTCTGATTGGCCGATTCAAAGTCAAGTATTGCACTAGAGCTGTCCAATAAAATATTTGTTACCGTAAACCGTAAAAATCGTAATCGTAAGTTTAATATCTATCTCGCGAGTATGTAAACTGTTGAAAGATTGTGAACCCGTAACATACTGCTTACAATGTAACGTGTGTTATTTTTCGGTAGATTGTAATAATATATCTGAAAATTGTAATAATATATGTTGAAATTAGTCAAAAGGTTGTTTTGATCGAAAGTTGTTATAAAGCCTAACCTTTTTTATGGTTTCGTACCTGTAAAGGAAAAAACGAAACCCTTATGGGAACAGGTAAGTAGGTACATAACGGATTTATATATAATTTTTTTGTTACAAATATATTTTATTTAGGACTATTAGGTAAGAGTATATGAAGGTGTTCGTGCGTGTGATCGAAATAATAAATTTTTAAATGAAACTTCCATACTTAAAAAAATATAGTAATAAATGAAATAAAATTGAATTTAAGGCTATAAATGAAATTATAAAAAATTAATGAAATAAAACTATTGTATCATATGAAAAATTAAGGAAAAACTCGCAAAATGTCAATATTTTTGTTCATTTAGTTATAGGTATAATAAATTCAAGATTTAAATGTTACTTATGCGTTACTATTACTGGTTTTTAAAGTGAATTAATTTAGTATAAATTCTTCTCACTGCTTGTTTCTCGTTATATTTCTTTCTTTTGCTGAGGAATGTTAGTCTCGTATCTACATATTTTTTTATGATACTTTGAGCTAAATCAGTTATATGGTTTGTCTCTTCTGTGTAATTTTGGTGGTAGTCATATTCGGGAAATAGTTTTTCTCCTACAAAACTGCTCATTGTTTTGTGAACTAAGAAGTCACTTGTACATCGTCGTACTATGTCTACACTCTCAATGAAAAATTTTTTTATGAATTGCTCCGAACGGCGGCAAATTTTTTGCACGTTAACTGATGGATATATTAAGCCCCCCTTATCTCTGTAAAAAATTAAACTTCTCTTATTTTCTGACAAGCATACTAATGCTTGCACGCAAGTGACGCATTTAATACGTTTAATTAGTGCGCTAGACACATACCCTGCTATGTATTCTATCACATTCTCAGAAAACTGTGAAAGCTCGACAGCTTCCATCCGAATATTAAATTCTTCTTCGTTTTCATGATCATCATCATTAACATTCTGCTCAGTTTCGCTGTGAGTGGTCAAGTTTATTCTTGTGATTGCCGAAGAACAATTAAGAATTGATATCTTCTCTAACGGTATGCAGTTACCCGTCGATGTTTGTAATAATTCTGTATGAATTAAGCATTTCTTGTAAATGGCTTCGAATAAGCGGGGTGTAGGATTGTCATTTGAACCACCATGTGATCTCATATTAGCAAAAAAGAGTTCTATGTGATCCTGTGAAATTTTGTGCATAGGTAAGTATCTTATAGGACAATTTTCATCACAAATTAAATCCTTAAATAAACCTTTAGTACTTTCGATTGCAACAAAGAAACCTAGAAATCCAGTAAACCGTGGTGATTCTATCAATTTTACTTGTTGCGTCTTCTTTCGTATTATTATTTTTGTAGTGACAGTCACCAAAAACCTTTTGCATTCCTCTAGTCTATCAAAGATTCTAGTATGATTATCAAAATTCAAAGCCCGTTTGTATCCATACCCGTGAACTCTGGAATCTAAAATATCAAATAGATCGTTTATGAGTAGGATCATTCTGGATGTCGCATCAACTCCTTGAAAGTCTGTCAATTTTAACTCTACTTCGCAAAAATCTAATGCTGTAGCTACGCTGCGACTGAACAATTGTGTAGCTAATTTTACTTTCATTATATTCGTTTTAAAATAAATGTGTTCAGCGCGTAACTTATTGGCAAGGTGAAAATTCTCTTTTTCTTGGAGCTCCTGTAATAATTTTAGGTAATCCCATCGTATAGTGTTGCCGTTCTCATCTTGAAATTCTTGATATTTTTCAAAAGTATTTCTGACCAATTTGAGCATATGCACGGGATCCAAAAATACGAAAACATTAGCACTCGTCACAGGATGTTTAAAGCTCGTCTTTAGCTGCTCTTTTTGTAATTTGCATCCTAGTTGCTTTGCCATTGCCAAGTTTGCTGGACAGCCGTCGAAGGTCAATGCTTTGACAGTAATTTTGTTTTCATGGCACAGCTCAAGAGCAATATTTACCAGGTTAGCTTTTTGTTCTCCACTGGTTTTATCGACTAGAAAGTAACCAATTGGTACTTTGAAACTTCCGTTGAATGGGACTACTAAAAGCACTAGTGCTTCTGTGCATTCATTATTGCAGTCAGTTTCCAGTTGATTACCAAAATCCACGTAGCCGAATGAACGTTGAGTTGATGGTTCATATTCTACCTTGCTTTTTATTTTCATCTCATCGAATACAAGGGTATACATCAACTCTTCTTTTGATGTTTCTGCTCTGGCTTTTAAGGCGTTGAAAGCCTCTGTTGTGAAACCCGGCCTACCGTCCACAGTCTGGTACCATTTTGTTAGTGTTCGCATGGAAGGTAAACAAGTATTGAAGGTATTTCTTACATATTTGTAAGCTTTTGATGAATAAAAATTCAATGTGAGAGCGAAAGTTCTCAATTCAGGCGAATATTTCTTTTTAATAATTTTTCCCGTTTTACATTTCAGATACTGACGATGAACGATTTCTTGATTAAGTACACCAATTTTTTTTAAAATATCTGCGTCTTCGGCTTTAATGAGATTTTTCTTTTCTAATTCCTTTATTATAACTTTTAAAGATGCCACTCTTTTTTTATAGTAACGGACTTTGTCCCTTAATACCTTAATTGTTTTATTTTTATGCTTAACTTGACTTGTTAACTGCAAAACACGTCTGCAAAGACGTTTTTTGGTCGGAGAGTGAAAATTTGAAGGAGTTTCAGGTTCGGTAGCTTTTCGTTTACTTCCCCTTGGTGTAGTTGATATCGAGTCCTTTTGAGAAGACGATGATGGTATCGGACTTGTATCTTCTGGAACTAATATGTTACTCTGCAAAGAAAACAAAATTATACATATATCGAGTCTGTAAAGACAATAGGTTTGATAATGAAGTTGAATAAAATAGATTATGTATTATATATCTTACCACTACAGGCAAATTTAGTGTAGGAATTGCGGTATCAAACAAGCGGCGGCGACTTTTTGATGTATAAAAACAATCTTCTGTAAAATGTCTGGAGCAAATGACACTATAATTACTTGGAAACCAGTTTTCCCTCTTTGCACAATCTATCCATTGTTCTTTAAGATTCGGATCCTTAGGAAACCTAAAAAAAAAAAAACAAATTACAAAAAATGTGAAAAATATTACTTTTTAAAAAGACTCGCCGGCTATTTCAGTTTCTATTATGCTTAATTTACAAATTCTGTTTAAATTATAGACGTCCCTGTGTAGATTTTGTCTAAAAGTAACTTCAATTACAGTCATTTTTAACTTAGTCATTATTAGTTACCATCATTATAACTTTTAATTAAAGTAGCTGACTGAAATTTTGTAGATTATTATTTATTTTATATTACTAGCAGCGCACCGAGGTTGCACTCGCATAGTTTCCGTTTCCGAGGGGAAAACCGGGATATAAACTGTCTGTGTGCTAAATTTCATTCAAATTCGTTCAGTAGTTTTTAGCGTGACACGCAAACATCCCAACATATAAACAGCCAAATTTTCAGATTTATATTTTTAGTAGGATTTGTATTATTATTAGTAGAATATTTTTGTATTGAGGTCTGGTGTGCTTAAATTAATCGACAAAGTAACTCACTACCTACTACTCACTCTAGATCGACTTATTTGAACTTTGTCTTGAAATGTATTCAATTTATTACATCTACTTATTTGTTTAAACAAATAACCTGTTCCGGTAAATATCCGGTAAAATAAAAAAACCGGTATAATCCGGTAATTTGATTATGACGCAGCACTAGTAAACACGTAATAAATAAAATGAGATGGCTTATATTGGTTACACCTAGGTAAGAGCAAGACGCATAGACAAGCGTCTAAGTGTTTCATTCTAAATGGCCAGTTTAACTTGAGCCGTATTAAATGGATGTAAATTGAAGCAAAATCAAAGTTTATTGATACTTACCGATGAAACGTGATTCCGTCTGTTTTATAATTCGATGTCTTGCTGTTTTTTCCACACCACCGAATAGAACAACACGACATTATGGGGTTTAATATACCAAACTATGAATATTTTCGGGAGTATCGGGAAACGTACACACAGATCATTTGTTGGTGAGGTACTGTTTTAGGGCGAGCGTGAATTGCTATTTATCAGTGACAAATCACTGATCAGTTTCGGAATTGGATGGCTCACATTACTACTCTATTCAGGTTAAATGCTCGATGGCAGCTGTGGAGCTACATTCTATAGGTCTAGTGAGTAGTGTGGCTGCAACTGGTTTTTTTTGTAGCTATAGGACGGCGTAGACATTGACAGAGTGGAACGCCTGCGTATGACTACTCCACTCAGCAACTCTGGTGCCCTGTGTTGCTGTATAGTTTTAACCCACATTTAAAATTTCACTTTTGCAACTCTTTCAAATTGTGTACTCTGTGAAATAGCTTACTATAGTCGTATTTTTAATTAGACGAAGCCAACTGACAGTAGCTAATGTCACTTTGTAAAATAATGTTGCCATATTTAAAGTAATAGTGATGCGTTCAGTTCTCGTTCAATCAGATGAATGAACAATGAGTGTGTATAGTTAATCATTTCAAACTATAAAAGAATATTATTTCTATTTTACAATAAAATTGTATAAAAGTGCTCTGATATAAGTTACTAGTAGTATGTAACTACAATCAGTTTTTTGAGGTTTTATTACAAAGCGCGGCGCGGCGACTACTGCCAACACCGATCAACGCCGCGCGCGTCGATCGCCATTTTGTTTGTTATTCGGCTTCTAACCTCTGGTCTGATAGCACGAATGTTTTTTCTGCGCTCACGCTGTTTAGTTATTGTTTTTGTTAAGTTTTTCGTTACGTTGTGTTTGTGGTAATTGTTGTGTTTATTTGTTGCTATATTGTTTCGTACAAATGATATGGATCCTCAACCAAGCACGTCAAGCCAAAGCTTGTCTCCAAGAAAGAAGAGACCACGGATTGCTTTAAGCGTTACCGAAAAACTTATGATACAAAACGTCTACAAACACGTATTTGAGGAAAAAGCTGCTTCACTATTACCTATTGAGGCCCCCGAAAAAAAAGAATGTGTTTCGAAAACAGCTGACATTTTGGGAATTGGTGTGACCTCAGTTTACAGTGTGTTAAAAGAATGCAAAGAAAATGAACAATTTAAGTCTCCCGAGAAACGTGGACCGAAACACAGTTTCAAAGATAAATTAGACGATTTTACTTTTGCCGCTATAAGGCGAAAAGTACATAATTTTTTTTATGCAAATGAGTCACCCACCATTATAAAGGTAACTTAAACTTTATTCCTTCTACTGCATTATATTCTGTGTCCACCATAATGTTCTTTGTAAAACCAAAGTATTAGATTGCGTAGACTTCCTTACTCAAAACATATTTTTATTACTTTACAGATTCTTAAGGTTGTCAATGAAGACCCAGACTTACCCAATTTTTCTTGGAGTACATTAAGAAATGTTATGAAACATTTAAATTTCAAATATGTCACAAAATCAAGACACAGCATTTTAATTGACAGACAGGACATTATTCTATGGCGCCAGCGATACCTTCGAAAAATTAAAGAGTATCGAAGGGAAGGAAGGTATATTTATTACCAAGATGAAACCTGGATCAACGAAGGTAATTACAATTTTCTGTTTTCTTTACATTAAATTGTACTTTCAATAATTAATTGATATTTTTCACTATCTTGAAGGTCATGCACCGAAGAAGGCATGGATTGACCAGACAGTGTTATCGTCCCGCCAGGCCTTCCTAGATGGCTTGACCACTGGCTTAAAACAGCCTTCAGGAAAGGGCAAACGATTAATTATCGGCCATATAGGCGGGGAAGAAGGATTCGTAGAAGACAGCTTATTAATATTTGAAGCCAAAAAAAATAAAGAAGATTATCATCAAGAGATGAATGCCGATTCCTTTGAGAAGTGGTTTAGGGGGGTCTTGCCAAAACTAAAACCAAATTCCGTAGTAGTGATGGATAATGCCCCCTACCACTCCAGGAAACTAGAATCGCTGCCTAAAATGTCTTGGACTAAACCTAGAATACTAGAGTGGCTAACGAGCAAAAATATTTCATTCGAAGCAACAATGGTTAAAGCTACTCTTATAGACATTGTACGGCAGCACAAGCAAGAACATTGCGATAAGTATGTTGTGGACGAGATGGCAGCGCAGCATGGGATAATTGTTTTACGTCTGCCCCCATACCACTGTGAGCTCAATCCCATTGAGTTGGTATGGGCGCAGGCTAAAGGATATGTTGCAAGAAATAACAAAACCTTCAAAATGACAGAAGTAAAAAAACTTTTTGAAGAAGGACTTCAACATATCACACCTGAAAAATGGAATAGCTGCGTGTCTCATATAATTAAAAAAGAAGACAAAATGTATGGTCTCGACCACATGATTGACAATGTTACTGACAGATTTTTAATTAATGTCACCGAAAGCGATAGTGATGATTTTTTATCTGATAATGAATAAAAACAAATTATGTAATAAGCGATTTTTTTTATTCTCATTACCTACCTATAATTGTTATATTTTATACATCTATAGTTTCAACTACATGATGTATTGAAAATAGGACAGTCTTACAAGTTTCCTCGCAATATTTTCCTTAATGTTTAAAACACTCGGTATTCAGTATAGGTAGATATTATAGGAACATAGTCGTCGAAAACTCGTTGGTATGTACAAAGCACGACTAAAATTCGAACCCCGTACCCGATATCGGCAGTTCAGCACACTAACTATTCACTAGACAATCGAGGCAATTTCATTAATTCAGGAGTTTTTCAATCATTCACTTTGTCACAACACTATTTTTATTTCATCAAAAACTGACAACACAGTAAACGTCAGTTGACTTCGTCTAATTAAAAATACGACTATACATATTTATTCATCTGTGCTGTGAATTTAAACGTCAACGTGTGGCTTAAAAGACAAGCATCCAAGTTTAAAAATCTTAATAAAAACATAAACGACAACGTTAACGTCAAGCTTTAACTAGTAAAATAAAAATAAAAATAATTGCATTCAAACTAATACGTAGCGATTATTTTGTAAATTTTAATGTTTAGTTTCGATCACAGAGTACATTGTATATAGGGAAGTTTCGATCAGTGATCACAGTTTACATTGATTAGTTTGTTCAAGATTACAGGCTTATTACAAGCTCGTTAAATATTTCATTTACAAGGATAGTTTTTAATGTGCATAATTGATATTAGTTATTTCGTTTTTGTAATAGTTTGATTAAATTATCAACCATTTTATTTTCCCTACGTACGTTATAATGGCTAACGACGAATGTTCTCATTCTGCGATACAAGGTCTGCCAGGTGCTTCTCAAGCGTTGCAGACAAGTGAAGACGAAAATCAAAAGTCCTGCTGGGTATGTTTTGCGACTGAAGCTGATGACAAGTTGGCGGCATGGGTGCAACCTTGCAAATGTATTGGCACCACAAAGTGGGTGAGTCTTTTTATAATAAGTTTTACACTAATATTTTACAATTTGATTATTGTTAAATGAAGAACATGAAAATAACATAAAACTATGAAATACAAACGTGTATTTAATTGTTTACATTTTTTTAACCTGTATTTTCCTGTGAGTTAAAATTTTATATATTATATATATTAAATAATATATATTAAAATATTATTCTTTAATTATGTTTATCATCATGGATCTTGAACATACCTAGCGTATTTCTCATAAAATGTTATTAATTTGTTGTGGTTAACCCTTGTCCTGGGTCAAAGTACTTTCTTAATACTACTTTATGACTTCTACTAATTTGTTATTTTATTCTTTGTGTTGTTTTTATAAATATTTTCTAATTCACTCAGTTATAATGTTTTACCAACTTAAGTATACCAGTGAAAGCTATTTTTATATAATGTTATTAAACTAATTACTTATTTTTTATTTATATTAAAAAAGTAAAGTAAAGTAACAGCCCAAAGAATGTGCCCAGCAGTGGGACTTATATCCCACTGCTGGGCACATTCTTCCTATCATTTCTGAAAGGGCTTTAGGGCAAGGATACGGCTGCTGTGCTGCCCCAATAAGTGTAGGTAAACTTCAAATGTCACTGAAATATTTTATTTTCTTATTTTTCAGACATGAAGGTTTTCTTACAATGTTTTCCTTCACCTCGAATCATGTGATAAATCAGCACTTAAATTGCAATTAACAATATAATTGGTGCCGGTGGGGATTTATATTATTTATTTAAAAATAATAGTCCTTTTTGGTGTTCTAATTCTTTTTTCTAATTTTCTATTTGGAGATGGTCGCTCTGCAAGAATTCTGAAAAGTATTATCAGAATAAAACTGTGTGATTTGTATAAAAAAATAATTTATAAATTAATTTAGTGAAATACATTATTAGTAATATAAATTAATATAATTTTAATTAATTAATATATACATTAAAAACAATGGATTGTTGATTTGTAGGTTATTCAATACTAAGCAACTATACCATGTAGCCGTCAAAAAGGCAGGTTTTTTGTTAGTACAGATGATACTTCAATTTTGTTTATATTTATTAATATGCATAGATTTGAAACTATTCCTCTTATTTTATTATCTCTTTATTTCATTGTAGTGTTTAAAATCAATACCCAATCTGAAACAATCAAACTAGCTTGCTAACACAAAATCTTTATCAATTATATATGTATATAAGTAAAAACATTGTAATGGTATATTATAGTATATTTCTTAGGTTGAAATTTCACTAGGTTGATGTACTACATTTCTAGCTAGGAATCTTTTTAAATAGGTACTATCCTCTCACCTTTTTCTGCTGCCAAGAAGCACTCCATGCACTTCTGTATTCCGGTTTGAAGGGTATAGAGAACCAGTATAATTACTGTTTGTGAGGCATTCCATCTTAATTTTCAAAGATGACTATGTTTCTGTAGCCTTCTTTGCTTGAAGTTGGTTGTAGGTATCCATGGACTGCTGTAAGCCATTTATCATCAGGTGGACTTAAGTGCACTTCAATTTTGTAAAAATACATACTTACGAAATCATTAAATAAATCTAAAATAGCTTTTATTAGATATCAGCTCAATGTATCTGTTGGCAGTTAAACATTGTTTATTGTATTCTCTCTAAATTTTTCCTGAATCATTCAAGTCATACTGTTTAATTCATTCTGTAAGGATGATTATAAATAGAAACATTGACTAACACTTTATTTTTTTATCTTGTGGCATCTGCAAGTCTTCAACTTACCATTACTTCTAAAAACGTTGTCAAACTTTATCTGTAGGCATTATTATCATTGCCAGTTATACCTCATATAACTCATTTGGATTGAGCGCTGGGTTGATACAGGCATTGAAGTCTCTGTATAGAGACTAGTGCTTGTGTCAGCACTGGCCTCAACGGGGCCTACTCGGACTGGTTTGGCATCCATAAAGGTGTCAGACAGGGCTGTGTGGCTTCCCCGTGGCTGTACAACCTATTTATGGACAGTTGTTTGGAAAATTTGAAAGTAGAAGAATGCGGGTTAAAAATGGGTGAGTTAACCGTCAAATGCCTTTTGTAAACCAATGATCAAGTCATACTTGCGTCGTAGAAAAGGGAATGAAAGTGAATGCAAGTAAGACGAAAGTTATGGTTTTTGAAAAAGAAGAAAGTAAAACGATATGTGAAATAAGAATAGAAGGGGAGTTGGTCGAGCAAGTAGATGAGTTTGTGTTTGATAGAGTGATTGGGGTTCTATACCCCATTGTGAAAAGTCAGAATGTGTCCAAAAAGGCACGTATGGCAATTCACAATGCTGTGTTAGTCCCTACTTTAATGTATGGTAGTGAAAGTTGGGTGTGGCAGAAGAAGTACGAGAGTAGAATAAATGCTGTGGAAATGCGATCATTAAGGAGTATGTAGTTGATGAATCTGAATGACAGAGTGAGAAATTGTGTGATAAGAAAAGAGTGTGGCTTGCAAGATGATGTTGTGACCAGGATTAAGAAGGGAATGCTTCGGTGGTTTGGGCATGTAGAAAGAATGATCGAGGAAAGAGTGACAAAGCAAATTTATGTTGCAGAGGTGAACGGCAGAGTTGGGAAGGGACGCCCTAGGCGAAAGTTTATCGACCAAATTGGCGATATATTGAAAATGGGCCAAATCAAGAGTACCTTTAACCGACGAGCGTGTATGTGTAGGTATATGAATGTGGAGGAAGCGAGAGAGGTGTGTCAGGATCGTGCCAAATGGAAGTCCATAGTCTCTGCCTACCCCTCTGGGTGACAGGCGTGAGTGTTTATGTATTATGTTATACCTCATAAACAGTTGCTTGCTGGATATGAACCTCTCTAAGAATGTAAGATACTATAAGCCCTATTCATGGTGAGCAAGTTCTCAGACCAGTGCTGTAGCAATAATTTTATTCATTCATTATTTATTATTTTATTTCATATTAAGAAACATTATTTAATACTTTTCTGTTAGTAATAAAATGCAGCCTTATCTTAGATAAAATATGAAAAGTAAACATGAATAGCTTATGCAGTGTAAAAAAAGCGTAACTTTTATTTTAATTGTGACAATTAAAACTGAAATACCATTAAGTTAGTGATTGTTTTTAATATTTATGTATGTCATGTTGTATTTATTTGATACAAAGTCTCAAGAGGAGTAAAGTATTTATATATTGTTGCAAATGTAACTATGGCAAACCTGTTTTCAATTATTATCTGGTTTGATAAGCAATTTGTGTGTAAATACTTTTATCAGCATTTCAAAAGTTATTTTTAATTGAACTTTTACAAATTGGTCTTTGCATATACTTAGATATAGTTTATAACAAAATCACTGGTGAGTGTCCAAATTGGTTTTTTTTAGCTACTTAATACCTAATTTACTTTATACTTTATTTAATACCTGTTCAAAAATTTATCTTTCTAGATGTTGTTGTTTTTCATTATTTAGGTGTATCATAGGCATATAATAGTGTTCTTTACTTTTATTTTTCTTGCAATGGGCCCAATGTCTAGCAGTGAACCTTTAGAAGCAAATGAAAATGATGATGATGATGATTACCCTTATATTTGCTATTAAAGTGCAGTAAATATAATTATTTTGACAATGATAAATACGTAAAGCGTAGTCGTATTAGTATTGGATAGTCAAACAAAAAAAATTACAATTTATAATTCTTATAATTTTTGAGAAAATATTTTGATATTTTAATTACAAAACTATATATATAAACTTCACTTTTTGTCATAGTGATACCTGCCCATGGTGAAGGTGCTTACTTCACTCGAGTGCATTTATGTTCAGCTTGTATTAAACTAATTTTTTGATGATTTTCTGAAAAATTGACCATGGAATTGTTACCACCTCTCATTTAAAATAATTTGGTTACTTAATCTTGTTGGCCTTGATTGTTGGTCAACAATAACGAGAAACAAACAATTAAACTTAGTTATCCTGTTATTAAGACTAATTATTCTATTGTCCATCTTTCTTCTCTTGTCATCACTCATCTGATCTGTGTCTATATGATGAATGATGGACCCATTATGAGTCCAGCATCTGATCCTTGCCATTATTATTGCAGAGATCTTTTGACAGTTATAATGTTACCACATATTGCTGAAAAGACATTTGAAAGATAATAGAAAATTTGTTCTAGGTGCATCAAAGTTGCCTTCAACGCTGGGTGGATGAGAAGCAACGTGGAAACATAAGCCACAAGGTCCTCTGTCCACAGTGCAAAGCCGAATATATTGTTGTTTTTCCGTCGATGGGAGCCTTTGTGGCTTTATTGGATTCATTGGAGGAAATCACCCACAAAATTAGTCCATTCATAGCGGGTGGTGTGCTACTGGGCTCGATATATTGGATTGCAATCACATATGGAGCTGTTACAGTCATGCAGGTGAATTTATGTGAATTAAAACCTTACCATATCTGCAATTATTTTTAATTAATAAATAAAATTTATAACAATTTGTAACAATAGCGCTCAATAGCCAAATCAAAGACAAAGGAAATTTATTTTCTTATGTTGAAAAAATAAAGATATTTCCTTTCATTTCATTATCTTTATAGATCACAAGAATTTTGGTGCAATGTCTGATAACCTAATTGTATTTTCGTCATTCATTAATTGATCATACAGAGTTAAGCATCACACCGGTCGACACAATTTTTGGGTGTGATTTCTGAATGTCAAATTTGGTTTCTTCTACGTTGCTAATAAAGAGAAAAATAATGTTTTTCATCAAAGTTTGCTTTTGTAGAAACCAGAGCAATTTCTCGAATTTTAAGAAAAATTACCGAAATTTTAATAATTTAGGTATTATAAATATTTTAAAGCATTCATTCAATCATAGTTTCAATTAACTCTTGATAATTGTCAGTTCTGTTGTTTCCGAGAAAATTATTAACGACTTTTACTTGAGTAACTGTGTGAATTCATCATTGTTCATTACTTTTTTTTATTTGTCGCCCGAAAAAAAATACCCGCTTTTCCTTTAATTTCAAATAATTTGGAAAAGAATCAAAGAGCTTTCATAAATAATTTCATAAGACCCAATTTTATATGCAACAACGACTTCAATAAATTTTTAGGCTCCACAACTGGTTCCCACTTGACATTATGTTTTCCATCTTGTTTTAAATACTGTTATTTTGGAACTGTTGAAAAAATGTAAATACTTCGAATATATTGTTAACTAGCTGTTCCCCGCGACTTCGGTCGCGTGTTAGGGTTTTTATGTTTTTGCGCGGAACCCTAATTCTTTTTCTAAAATAAAAGTAGCCTAAGTTACTCCTTATGAAATCAGCTACCTGCCAGTGAAAGTCCCATCAAAATCGGTCCAGCCGTTTCGGAGATTAGCCGGAACAAACAGACAGACAGACAGACAGACAGACAAAAATTTTAATAATTGTCTTTTTGTTATAAGTACCGTATATACTTTCATATGCAATTAGTAAAAAGTTGTAATTTAGACATTACAAACAGACACTTCAATTTTATTTATTTGTATAGATTTAAAAAAAATTATGGGAATTGAGATGAATTGTTTTTACCGTTTAATAATAACTGTTATTGAGTATTGAAGTTACAAAAATATTTATATGGTCGTTATTTTTCTATAGAAGAGGGGGAAAACGAGCATGCGGCTCACCTGATGGTAAGTGACTACCGCCGCCCATGAACAACCGCAACACCAGGAGAATTGCAGATGCGTTGCCCTGCAATTTTAGATTTTATTTTTTAGTTTCTTACCTTCTTAAGTATTTTTGCTGTTAACACAGGCAAAGTGACGTACCCATTTTTTTTATCTTGATGCCGAATTCGCAGGTTAAAATAGACATCACACGTTTAAATTTCTAGAAAGCTTTAAATTTCTTGCTAAGGAATTTTTTTTCCTTCTTACTTTAATAAATTCACACTTTTGATAAAAGTGCTACCACTTGTTGCTTGTTAAATCCATTAATATCTACAAAACTTATTTATCGTCATAAAACAGACAAAATCAAACTTAAAAAGCTAAGAATTGATATTTTGGTGTTTTTCGATGCCTAGCATCAGAATTAATGCATTTTTAGAATAGAATAGAATATTTTTTATTCAATATACATTACATGTGTAATTCTTATTGAAAGTCATTTTTTACTTTACCACTGGTTCAAAAAAACCCTCTGTCCTGGGAAGAACCAGCAAGAAACCCAGCGATTTAATATCTCATGGTGAACACAGTCGAAGGCTTTGGAAAGGTCACAAAATATACCCAAAGCATCCTCTGAATTCTCCCATGCACAAAAAATATGTTTAATAAGCTCAACTCCAGCGTCAGTTGTCGAGCGACCCCTTGTAAAACCGAATTGATTTTTATGTAGCAATTTATTAATATTGAAGAAACTTAACATCTGGTCTAAAATAATTTTTTCAAAAATTTTACTTAATGTTGGTAGTACAGAAATTGGTCTAAAATTGGCGGGGTCTAATGTACTACCAGATTTAAATATAGGTATGACTTTACTATGTTTCATTAAATCAGGAAACACACCAGATTCGACGCTTATATTAAATATAGTGGCTAGATAAGGTGCTAATGTATCTATTATAGATAAAATAACTTTAACGGAAATCCCCCATAAGTCTGCCGTTTTCTTAACATCAATAGTTTTAAAATATTTAACGATATCTTTTGGCAGTACCCTATGGAATTTAAAAGTATTTGAACAAGCCTTTACATTTTGTTTGAGCAATGATTGAATGATGATGATGATTGAATGAGCATTAGAACAGATACCCAGAAAAAAAGAGTTTTTTTCTGTCGACCTTTGTGATCATCATACATACACATGTATCATACACAATGTAGCATTCTGATAAACTAAAAATCAATAAACATTTGTCACTATAACTTTTCCTTGTAAAGTGTTGTTAACCATTGATAACAGATGTTTATATTTTCATTATATTTTAAAAATTACAAGACCTAAATTTTATCATTTAATTATCATTAATAGCCTCCATAATACTTAAATGATATCTATATTTCTTATATATTGTCGACGAATTAATGAGAGAGTTCAGCCATTCAGTTTTATGTATGCCACCCTGTCATTGCGACTTAAATCCAATAGAATATGCATGGAATTTGGTAAAGCAAAGGGTGGCAGACGTAAACAGTAATCAATCTGAAAGAGAAATAGAAAACCTAACAAGGGAAGTTATGAAATCCGTTACAATTTTCCATTGGAAAAAAAGATGTCAACCACATTGAGAGATTAGAAAAATTGTATTGGAATAAAGACCACTTCCAAGAATTAGATGAAAGGAAAATAATAATTTCCCTTGGAGAGGAAGAAACCACCACTGAGAGTGAAAATGACTGCGATTCTGACACCATGCCAGAGATTAAAATAATGTTCCCTTATAATCTTCGCACGGATGACAACTAACCTGGTCCAATTTTCAAACACATGAAAAAAATTTCATTACAATCGGTCCAACCGTTTTTGAGATTTAGCGAGACTAACGGCTAACGGACTGCAATTGATTTTTATATATAGAGACTATGCAATCTTTACATATTATCCACGTTGACAATTTGTTTCTGTTAGTAATATAAAAAGTGATTAGTTATGCATGAAACCAAATTTTAGCTTTGTATGTAGCAAAGCTAAAATTTGGTTTGTTATACAACTAGAAATCTCATTATCAAGCAAGACAAAGTCGGCTGTCACTGAAATAATGACGAATTTTAAGTTTTAGAAAAAAAAAAATTGTTTTACAATGTTGTTGGTAGCTGCGTAATTAAAATCCAGTCTCAGAATAGCAAGCAGTCAAATTAAAATAAACGCTTGAAAAAATAATATTATTCTTATGAAATGCAATTTTTTTACCTACTACTTAATTAGCTCGCACGGGTTTGTATTATAGAGTTAATGTGTAATTATATATAAACAGTTTGCGATTTATTTCGTTTTATTAAAATAATCTAAATAACTTTTTGAGTCTGATTAATAATGGCATAAAACAAAATATTATTGTACCTTACTTATTTTAAGTATATAATATATACACATAGGGCACACTGAAAGTTCTGCGCTCCCAGACGCTCATAATTGTTTGAATTTCTAGTGTTATATTTTTTAAAAACATAAATTCATATAAAATAATTTTTGGCGCAGTAGCGCAGTGTTTTTATCAAAGTTGAAGTTCGCCATCCGTAGCGAAAATGAAATTAACGCGAAAAGGTTTCAGGGCGATGATTTTTTATGATTTTAAAAGTTTACTCTCTCCGCATTGATCGCCTTTAAAATGCATTTGAGAGGGAAGAACTTCATTTGAGAATCGTAAGGTGTTGGTACGCAGAATTTGAGCGTGGCTGTGTTTCTCTCCATGGTGAAATTCGTGATGGTCGACCCTCAACTGCGATCTCTGAGGAAAATGTGGCTACTGTCTGGCGACTAATTTAAGAAAACTGGGACATCGCTTATGAAGAGATTCGGGGAGAATTGTGAACCAAATCAAAAAATAGATACTCCAAAATTTATGATTTAAAATTATATGGCGAAAGAAAGTGTTCGCCACAAAAAGATTCTTTTCCACACAAACGGTGAGGAGGTCTTCACCATTCTCATTTATTCGCCATCGCCATCGCCAAACGCTCCTAATATCCTTTCATAACCAGACCTCTTCACCCCTTCCATTAAAATCTCCTAACATAATAATATTTTCATTTCCCTTACATTTCGTCAACACCAGCCTTTTCATGTCCCAAAACTGCTCTCGGATATAAGTGGGCTTAGACATATCTGGGGCGTACACCCCAAGCACGAACAGCTTCTTTAAGCCCACTTTCATTCGTATCCACAGCAGCCTTGGGCTTACACATTCATACTCTTTCACACATTGACCCATTCTTTCTGAAAGGATGACACCGACTCCCTGGCATGCTTGCTCGGTCTCGTCTACATTAGACCAGTAAGCGGTATACATGCCATGTGCAGTGACATCTCTTCCCTTTCGTTTCGTCTCGTTCACACATAACACATCTATTCCTCTATCATTCATCATTTCGCATATTTCATCCATCTTATCATTCATTGCTCCCCATAAATTCAGAGTAGCCAGACGGGCCTCCGCAATCCACTTTTCGCCCCTCCGGGAGACAGGACGTGACAGGTGGCGATTTTCGTCGCTGGTTTTCCTCCCGGAGATTCTTCGCACCCCTGTCCCATTAAAGGGGCGCCGGGAACTCGGGGCCATTTCTATTAATTGTTGGCTCATGGTGCCACCTAAGGGGTGGTAGATTTTACGCCGCTACCATACGGCGAGGAGCCGAGTCTATCGTTTCGGCTTTGTCGCTCGTTTAGCACCACCCGGGGGACACGTGTAGGGCGGGCCTAGGGTTA